CTTGAGATACACAATGTCCACGCAGTTATTTTCGTTTTCGTTTTTGCCTAGCTTCAACAGCAAAATCCCTAGATGCTTTTGGTCTAAGGCTTCATACGGCACCCGTCTTGAGGAAGTGGGGGGGATGTAGTGGTCTGAGACCGACAGTGTAACATGCTCAAGAGTGTCATCATCTTTGGTCTGCTTGTTCCGCATACATGCGTTCACATGATTGCAGGCATCAGTTGCTTCAAGCATTCGCTCGTGCAGCCTTCTCCTTTGTAGCATTGAATCCGCAACCTCTCTTAGAGCTGGTGGTAACATATTTTATTGTTTTCCGATTGCCATACCCGTTTTTAACATGCCACGTGTGTCTTATCCATGCCTGAATGTATCGTGTGGTAGACGGGTGGTTACGGGTATAGAATGCAGCATATGCGAGCATTGGACACGCGAAATTTGCTAGAAGCTCTCAAGCGAGCTATTCAAACTATACAACAACTACGCAAACCTTCTGTGAATCTGCCAAGGATGCCGAGAGATTGCAAAATCTGCATTAAAAGGCAACCAGAATTCCTCGGATATTGGTGGGAACATGCAAGGGCAAACGCTACGCGTAAACGAGTCCTCACTCAAATAACCAGCGGGTCAAACAACCAATGCTACTCGGAAAACACCACCCAACCATAAAGGTAAATCGTCGCTTCCGAGGAGCCCTTTGAATCACTCGACACCCAAGACCCAAACCGCGATTCCGAAAACTCCCATCAGCGTCTACAAAAAAGTGACACAAGGCAGTTATTCAAATGTCATTGCCAATCGAGCGTCCAGTTTGTTGTGTTGTCGGCGAATGAATGTAGCTTCCAACACTGCGTACAGTTGATTGGGTATTTGTGATCCTCTCACTTTAACCCCGTATGCAGAATGTTGACTCCTTGGGTGTATGCTGAAAGGGAGGAAAACAAGCAAGGATATCTCCTCGCCTCATTGGTTAGAGACCTCAAGTACACATTCGTTAGTATACACAACTCACATGTGACAAGATAGTCAGTTTTTAGAATAATTTCAACACTCAAGCCCAAATTTATATTATTTCACAAACTTCTGGCTAAAGTAGAATTTACTCTTCATGTTCCCAGTTTCAGAGAACGTTGCTGACCAGCATGCGTCCACGGCCACCTGGAAGATGTTAACATGGGTGCAGTTGACCCCTTCTGCGGGTAACCTGTTCCACATAGGTATGACCCTGTGTGCGAAGAAGTTGGCCTGTACTTCCAACCTCGCGTGGTTCTGCTGAAGTTTAGAGCTATGGCCTCCCGTGCACGAGAAATCGTAAACAAATCATCTACGTTGAGTCCCGATAGACTTCTTAGAATTTAAAAGTCTCTCTTAGATTTCCCCTAACTCGTCTACGCTCTAGTGAAAAGATATTTAGATCTCGTAACCGCTGCTCATGGCTTTTCCCCTTTTGTCCAGTCACCATTCGAGTGGCTAGGCATTGCATTCGCTCTAAGCACCGAGCGGATATTTTCAACTCCAGTTCTGTGTCTTCCTCTATGTTCTTCATAAGACAATCGATTACATTGATGTGAACTCCATAACAGATCATCCTCAGGACTCCATTATATGACCTTGTCCACTTTGTGTTTCTTTTTCACCGCAATGCATGGTTATTATGTCTTCTTGACCTGTTAGAAAATTACGTTCTTACCCTCTAAACAATTAATGTTTATTTGAACCGTCATTTTTTACATTATTGTACATTTGATCATGCGCACCAGCATGCTTCACGAGCTTCGTGAAATATACCGTTATTATTATTATTCTCCTCTGTTCTCCGGTACCATCGTCAGGCTTGATGGTCTAACCATCTACTCTACACGATACGGGCATTTGAACAATGAGATTATAGGAACTATCCCATCAGCGTCTACAAAAAAGTGACACAAGGCAGTTATTCAAATGTCAATTGGAAACATTCCGTTTCAAATTTATGCAGAAAACGACAAGAAATCGCTGCGCGATTGCCGGGCGGTGTGATAGTTTTTTAAAGCTTTTGTACACACTACTTTTCTAATTTCATTATCTTCCTTCTATTATCTCTTCTTCATTTTTATGAACTCAACATTTACCAGTAGTTTTACCCGGCTTCCTCATTACCCGTTCGGTATATTTTCGCTCTCGCTCCGTGATTTGCTCTGTTGTTTGCCGTTCATTAACTGGGACCTACGACGGTTTCGTAGGTATGAAATATGTATTGATGTATGCCTATAATAGAAACGATCTTTCAACTGTCGTTCAACTGTTTTCCCACGTGCTGGGAATTCGTTCAGTCGAAGTCGAGACATTGCGATTCGTATTGAAAGTTGTTCAGATTGCGGTACACAGCGTCTGGAGAGATTGCAGCCGTAAGTTCGCGAATGGAAGTCCTTGAAAGACAACTGTCCATGATGAAAAATTCCACTCAAATGATGTTAGGTAGGACGCGAAACCTAGTCTTGCATAATTTGAGGGAACCATATATTCGCGAATGTAGGGCAAGAAAGAAATCTGAAACGCGCAGCCTCCACGTCATATTCAGGATGATTGTGATTCCTGCAAGCACTCTAATTGTCAACTGCCATCGCATTGGAGTATGGAAAGGCATTAAAGCAGTTGGACCAAGGCCTCTGTTAGTAACCTTTCCCAGTATGTACCTGAGGGACGCCGTGCTATCAAGTGCCGTGAAGGTAGACATCGTCACCGGTGGTCGTGTGAGAGTCACACCTGACACTGGCACCCAAGAACCCAGGGTTATACCAGTCTTGGGCCCACAAGTGCCACAAGTGGCTGGGGGTAAGAGAACTTCGTTGGCATTGGTCATGTCCGCTGCGGGACCGACTATACAATAACAAAAAGAGTAGATAGGGCTCCCACAGGTAGCTCTATGCCAAAAATTGCAAAAGTGCCTGGGGTGGAATAACTGGGAGGCGCCACTATTAGCAATGAGCCAAAGAAGGGCTATCGGTGTTCAAAAGAAACGAAACCCGTTAAAACTAGGATGAATGATGCGCAGGGACGGCTTAATTTGAAAGAAAAGAGCAATACCACGCGCGATGCCTCGATAAGAAATGCTCAGATAAAATTCGCTCCG